GCCAAGGGCTCCGCGATGCCCCCCGCCAGCTTCCTCAACACCCTTGGGTGGAGGGCATCTGGACCTGCAGATTTAAAAACGTCTAGCCCTTTCAGACGATCCCTAACTACATCTGCACTGACTGAAGGCTTGATAGAGCTATCCCCAAGATTGTCCCTACCTCTGGTAGGTGGGATATCCCGGTGCCTGTTCAGGAAAACAGAGGTGAAGAAACTGTTAAAAATATCAGCTTGTGTCTGGCATGGCCACCAGATTACCATTTGTATCTTGCAGGGGCCCTCCATTGCCTGGTGCCCTCTTCTTGCTCCCAATGTACTTGAAAAAGGACTGTTTGTTGTCCTTAATCCTGGACGCTAGCCTGAGTTCCATCTCTGCCTTGGCCTTCCTAATAGCCCTCCTACACTGCCGGGCCAAGGAGGAGTACTCCTCCTTGGTGATAGTTCCTCCCTTCCACTGGCTGTACGCCTCCCTTTTAGTCCTCAGGCATTGCTGAATGCCCTTGCTGAGCCAAAGGCGTTTCTGAGCGCTCTTACCCCCCTTGCTTCTCTCAGGGACTGTTATCCTTTGGGCCTGGAGGATCTCCCCCTTAAGGTACGACCATCCCTCGTGGGCTCCCATCTCCTCTACCTTCTGGGCCCTCAGTGCCTCCCCCACTAGTATCCTAAGCTCATTGAAGTTGGCCCTTCTGAAGTCAAGGGCTTGAGCCTTGGTGTGAGCCCTAGACGTATCAGGAGGGATTGGCTTTCCCACCACACCACTTCCTGAAAGCAGGTTGCTTGAACAAATTTAGAGGGCTTGTGGAGAACTAAGCCGTTGGACATGGCTGAGCCAGCCACGCCACACTCCTCCATGGTTTAGCTTCATCCCTAGTTTGCCACACACTGTGGATGTAGTGAATAGTAAAAGTACTATTAAGCTTAAAGAAACAATACAGTAAGTACAACTAGGGAACATTTAATCACAGTGTGCAGGCTCATCAGACTGACTGGTAGAGGGAAGCACACAAGGGTTACATGCCCAAAATGTGACAGAACAATTACAGTGCATCTTGTATACCACACATATCCATGCAGGTATACCATATTTCACAACTTTGATATGTGCATCAATTAGTTACATCTCCATTGTTAGACCTCCCTATTTTCTTGGAAGATATGTCACTTGACTTATAATCTTACAGTTGTGATTTGCCTTGAAACTCGCTGCTCATAATTTTGGCAGCCCAGCCAAGCCTGATATTATCTTGCCCTGGTATTTACCACCTTCCAGGAAGGGAAAGGGAAAGGCTTGGCAGGGTGCAGTGGGAAGACTTGGCTTGCCAATATTCTCCATACTTGGTACCAACATCAGTCCTTTACTGCTGAAGAAATGGAGTTAGCTATGGCACAGGCATCCAGAAATCATTCCTCCATAATACCAACTATAATAAATTTCAGGGCTAAGGGTGAACCATTCAAGAAATATATGTTTGCTGATGAGGTTTTAAAGAAAATCACACCAGTTAACTGGTGGAAGTCACTTAACCACCGGAATCCATCAGATGCTATTGAACACCTTTTAATAGCAGTAGCTTCTGCAGGTATAGAAAGAAATTTTTCTTCCTTTGGACTAATTCATTCTAAATTGAGAAACTGCTTGGCAACGGAAAAAACAGGAAAGCTAGTCTCTTTTCCAATCTATGAACAAATAGGAAGAGCAAGGTAAAGTCTGAGTTTTCTACATAACCCATTATTTTAAGTTTTGCATGTCGACGTGGCCGAAATCATCTATTTAACTGTTGTTAAAAGACACATTTCACATTTATAACTAAAATAGTTAAAAATTCAAACACACATATGCTTGTTTTGTTAAAATAATTGCAAATATTTGTTGTTGAAGAAAAATATCCAAACTATATAAGCTTGTTGTTTTAGTTAAATAAAACAATTCAAATGTCTGTCGTCTTTGGTGACAGCTGTTGCCTACAGAGTGGCAAAAATATCCCCCAAATATCCATGATTACTCCAGTGAATTGGAGATAAGTTTACCACCCAATGACTTCACAAGTATCTGCTTCAGTTAGCTTTGGTAAATAAAATAACCAAATCATAATTCAGTTTTTTCATGCAGCTACAAAAAATATCAAAATAAATCACTGCTATAAAACGTATGGCATGTACCTTCTAAAAAAGAAATCTACATCCATCTCTGAGTTGTGAATAATATGTATTAAGGTTGTATCAAACAAACAACAAGAAAGCACTTTCTGCAGAAAATAATGATTAAACCAAGGTTTCTTGACCAGTGATTTAAATTAGTTCAATTTAAAATCAAATCCACCCCGATTATCCCCATTCCCAAATAATCACTGCTAAAATGTTTTACTTCTATTTTAAATTGACATCTTTACTAATAAGTTCCCTCTTCACAAAACGTATCTGATTTTCTTAAATATATTATTATATGAACATCTATGTTGTTAATGGTTTCTTGTATCATTCAAACATCTCATCTGTTTCAAATTTGGTTAGAAGAGTTCTGTCACAACCCAATTAAATTGTGCCCATGCCACTAAGCAAGAGATACCATTCAAATCATCTTCATTTTGACAATTAAGGGTTAAAAGACTTCCCTGCCAAAATTCCTTGAAACAAAATGCTGGCGAAGAACTGTAGATAATTGGTCAGCTGAAATAAAATGCTAGGGGAAACTATATATAATTGGTCAAAAATAAGCGTAAGCTCCTCACACGTAGCACACACGTAACAGGTAGAGAAACTTAACCTACTACCTTGTAACTTGAGGAGACAAAGAGCTGCCACCTGCCAAAAATTAAAGATTCCATATAACGGTTCACCATTGGGTATCCCTGTAAAACACCTCTGCCTATAAATAGTTTAACGGTTTCCGCCCAAGGCAGAGAACTCTGGGGATCTCTAAGGAGACACCTGTGCTCGTCCCCAGAGAGTTGGGAACTTGATCAACTCCCAATCAATCACCCCATCAGCGTAAAATATTGACATAGAAAGTCTTGTAAGCCCGACCATTCGTTCCGGCGCCACGTCCGTCGCCACGTCCATCATTATCTCGTTGTAACCTAACTGCGTGTACTCAACTCTGTAACCGAAGCTATATGCATGTACTCAACTCTGTAACCGAAGCTGTAACGGAACAAAGGCTCGCCTGCGTCGTCATCACTATCTAGGTGACGTAAGTAAACAAACTCCTGTAACCTACACGTGTCTGTGCCTGGTTAATTCTACTCCATCCATCAATTACCCGCCTGCCGAGTTCAAAATCTAAACACTCCGGTGTGAGTCAGACGGCTGCCAGCGGCTGGTCTGATTCACGACAAGTTCCTCGAGAATTTAGTGCATGACATTGATTTAATATATACACCTGGTCAATGCAGTTTACACAATAAGAATGTGTATTTGAGCAAACTACTACAGTTATATATATATTATGCACTGTGATGAACACTTTAAGAAGCCATGTTTTGATGGAAAAGTTATAGATCTTAAACTGTTTACCTCAGCATGACAAGAGGTAATTTTCTTGAGTACTGATTGTACCATTTAGAAACTAAGCAAGCATTCTCTCTCTTTCTTTTTGTCAAATTTCTGAACCTCATATCCATTCACCAGAATGTCCAGTTTATGCTTACTTTGACTAAACTTATTCTCAACTACTGCTACTCTTTTCTTCATAAAAGTATTTTACTGCGCAGTAGGTTTTCTGGGCATTAAATGCATGTGTAGATGCACCTAGTGGCTTGCAGAACAAAAGCAGAGAATGCTCTTAACAAATGAATCAAACCAGAAGATCAACATAACACACACCCTCACTTGAGCAAGGCTAATTAGATTTAATATTTTGTGGCACTTACCACATGAGAGACTTTCAAATTATTACCATCAAATCTGCACAAACTTGTACTGTCTTCAAGAAAAATATCACATTCCTCCAGTTCCTGCGCATTGCAAGGGGGATTTTCTTTGTCAGGGTTTGGATTCTGAAACAAGAAAATATTGAAATGCAGTAAAAATCCGGAGTCTGATGCACAGTATTTACTATACTAAACATTATTTTCACAATAAACATAATTCATACTAGGGGTGCACCGATAAAGATTGACCAAAAAATATGGATGGCTGATTATTAATGAGCCATATTGGCCAATACCAATCCGATTGCTGATATGCAGCCCGGCAGCTTGGAGAGTAGCGTCTGGCTGGTAAGTCTGTTGGGAGAGGGGGGGGGGGGTGAAGGGGCAGACTGAGGGCAGGCTGTTTCTGCGCGTTGGGTTCCAGGTGCTGGGCTTTCCCCAGCATTGGGGGGGCTGGGCCGGGGCTGTGCTCAGGGTGGGTGGCAGCGCTTGGGGGGTGGGAGGGTGGTCTATGGGCCCCCCGCATAGCATGTAGATTTGTCCAGTTTCAGTGAAACTAGGCCACTCAGAAGCTTTGAACCAGGGATGAATTTGTCCTTAGCTATTTGAAAGTTACTAAGTCATACCCTTTAATGATTTTGTTACTTGGGTTAGCATACTCCAGATTCTAGGATTTTGTTACATTAGTTGTTCATTAAATCAGGGGAAAGATTCTGTACATGCAAGAATTCTTGTCTGGCCAGGAAAAAGACAAAATGGAATTAATAACATCACTCATTTTATGTTAGTCTTGCTGGTTTGTAGAGGTAATGAATAGTCAATCGTTGCAGCTTTAGGGCTGTTTATGTCTTTGACCAGTTTCCATGTTTCCCTAGTCATTAGATTGACTGCATATTAAAATATCAGGTAAGCAAGGTAGGTATTTTCAAATTCAGTTTTAATCCGGGCAGAAATGCCAAGAAGAAATAGGGTTATTCACTGTGTAGAAGCTCCTATTTACCATCCAAATACAACCGTCCCCTGAACTTCTACTTATCACTTAAAATTGACAAAATGTATGGCTCTCTTACCCTGTGATCAATGGAAAAGAATACATATCTGGCCTTTAGCTGGCATTTCTCAAGCCATAAAAAAAGCTTAAAACATTAAGAGCAGATTATGGAGTGATAGCTGCACTGAGGGAGTAAACTCAGGGAAATAAATAGCAAAGTATTTGGCATTGTGTAATAAACTAAGAAGACTAAACAAGCCAGGAAATTTTCTTTTTCTAGGCATATATAAAGCACTCATTTGGGAATGTAAGGAACAATCAGATACTAAACATACTTGATTATTGTGGTTAGTATTTAAATATCTAGGATTCAAATGCTGGACAGGGTAAGACTTTAGGTCAATAACATATCAGTCAAAAATCCATGTACCTGCAAATTTTTTTTAAATGCCAGGATGAAAGTTAAAATAATTCTGCTGTCCAGTTTAATTCACTATTTTTTTAGTGTTATTTAAGATGAAAAGATTCTTGTGAGGAAAACTGACTGTCTTGGTAGAGAAGAGACTACATTATTTATAAAAGACACCTTCAAAATTATGACAGGGCATGATCAAATGGAATGAGTCAGTGATTATAGGTTCTAATAGTACAAGTAACCAACTCAAAGTGAAGAGGAGTCAAAGAATTTAAAATAATAAATTTTTAATTTCCAGTGTGGGTGGAAGGTGGTTTGGGGGGAGCAGAAAAGAGGGGAAGAAGCAGCAATAGCTAACTGTCATTCTGACTTTTCTTGTCAGTGACTTAGAGCTTTCTCAGCCAAGGCATGAAATTGCATGCTTTTGTCCACTCAAAACATTGACCAAATGAGTTTGAACCGTATGGGTACTTTTACATGTGCTCCGGGGGTGGGGTGGGGGTAGAGGAGGCATTTAAATTAGAGCGGATCCGAGAGCTGCGCTAATTAAAGTGCCACAATGTCTCATGTATCAGTGTCCCCCCCTCCGTGTCCAAATGGTGTTGGGGGTGCTTGAACTAAAGCCCGTTCAATGAGCTTTAGTTTAAGTGCCCCCACTGCCATTTTGAAGTGTGGGGATGCTGATACACGAGACCCAGGAGGCTGCTGGAGCATGGTAATTACCATACTTCAACGGAGTTGATTAATCGCAGTGTTTATATTGCGTTGGAGCAGCCTCCCAGCATGTCTACAGGCACCCTATATTTTCACTTCTTCTTTGCTGCAGTTTGCTTATACAAAAGGCTTAAATTGGGCCCTGAATTTTTTCCTAATTTAGCAGCCCTCAGCAAGGGAGGCAACATAGGCCAAAGAACCAGTTAATTGGTCCTGGTGTTCTGCAATTTCAAGCATACATGCGAGCCCTACTCCACTAGTATTTCTAAATGATTTAAGTAAGGGTGCATCAATTAAAGCTCTTTATTTTCAGTTAAACTGGTAAAGAAAGAATTATAAGCCAGCAATACCTTTCTCTTTATATTTAGTACCCGATTTGCTTAGGATACCAAGGTATTTGTAGCTGAGTTGTGATACAGTGAGCTAGAGTAAGTGATATCATTCAATTCTACAATAGTTTTCTACTCCTCAAACATCTGCCACAGCACACATTTTTAGTCTTTCCAGGAGTGAGTATATTTGAATTCATGTACGAAAGAAACCAAGAGACATACAGAACTGTGACAAGAGAGAGAGGGAGAGAGAGAGAAAGAGAAAAAGAGAAATGTAGTCATGAGTAGGTCAGAAGTATGCAGATGGGCTGCAGAATCATCACTGGACCAAGACTGCAAGTGTTATTTATAATTGGTGATACTTCAAACTTCCTTTAGCTTGTTTAATAGAGAAAATGAAAGACTGACTTGGATATTTTAAAGACATTCAACCTCTGTGTATTTCTAGATAGGGAATAGAAATTCCAAAAAAAGTACAACATAATTCAAACCATAAAATGCAAAATATTCTAGAGTTAAAAGTTAGAGAGATTCCTATTTGTATCCTAGAGTAAAATAATGAAAGATTATTTATATGAATTCTAAATTCACTGGCACACTGTTGATCTGAAAATAAAAATTTGAAAAACAGTAATTTATTGTAAATTGATTTGCGTCAATTTTCATAATAAATCATATACTGATTAAATAATTTTTAATCCTGTTCTCATTCCAAGAATAACTACCATTTACCTGCTGTGAAATCTATTCCTCTTTGCCAGTCTCTGTGTACAGTAATATTTGTGAAACATTTAAAAAAAAAACTGAGACAGAAAAAGGCTTACTGGGGTGGAGGGTGGTATTTTGCCTATGAATGTACATGTATAGCATAGTTCTCACTGCATATTCTTCTACGATCTGCCCAGTTAAACAGCCCAAGGAACCGAGCTTTTATTGCTTGTCTCGACAGACTTTTTACGTTAGATTATCAGCAGCAAAATTTGTTGAAATTAAGCATTCTTTTTAGTGCTCTCAGAGTACATTTAAAGTTACAGGAGCCTCAGTACAACCAAATACTTAAGCACATGTGCTTATGTGATGTAGTGACTAGGTGTGGGATTACTTATATGTTCACAGTTATTCACATGCTTAAAATATTTTGAGATAAAAACACATTAAAGTTAGATTTAGACTTTCAAAGGACTGGAAGTTTAAAGTTTCAGTTGACATTGGGCAAAAAAATGCACTAAACACACCACAATAAGATGCAGTCTAAAAACATTACAACTGTAAAAATGACTCTGTCCCTAAATGACTAATGAATACAAAACCACTATTTTCCTTTAACATTATTTTTAAAATGTAATTAAAAATCCAAAACTAATAAATCAGGATGAATAGGGAGTCACATTTCCCAAGATGCTACTTTCTAATTAAACCAAAGGGACAGTATCTAATACGCAGCAGTTAAAATAAAACCTGTCAATTTAACTTAAAGATTCTCCAGATAATATAAAATACAGAAAAGTTCATATAAATGAGTCATGCTCATCTTTTCCCAAGTTTTCTTTTTAAATCTCATCTATGCATACAATCAACATTAAGCCATGCATCATTTCCCTTGGAGATGTATGTAAGAACATTTCTAATTTATTAGAAACAAGAAGTCTAAAGTTCAAGCATCAAGATTATAAATTAACCAAATTTATCCTCGGTTTAAGTCATAAGGTCAAGGAGTTGCACCAGAAATAATATTATTCCCAACCTACACATAGCCAGAGCATTGCTATATATTACAGTATAACCTCATAAATCCAGAATGCTTGAGACTGAGCACGTGATAGAAATTTGAAAATTGTTTTTTTTTAAACTGAAGTGGCAGCCGGTCACGGAGTGGGTTGGGGGCGGGGGGAGGGGCGCAGCAGCTGGTCCTGGAGCAGTGACCGCATGTGGAGCAGGCCGTATGTTGGACAAGCCTCTTATAGATGGAGCTGACAGGACTGTTTATTTCACTTTTTATTCATAAGATGCTCTTTTCAATTGCTTTAAAAAAAAACAAAAAAAACCAAACTATTTTCCATACTACATATTCTTGTATTGGTTTGTACTTCTTTTGGAAAAAATCATGAAAATGGTTCTCCTATTTCACAGAATAAGGCTAGGAGAAATGTGTGGTTTCGCTTATGTCAAACCCTGGTGACCTGTTTTTTTTTAACTGGCGTTGGCAACCCAATGATATGGAGCTATGGAACAAGGGCTTTAAACGTCATTTGGGCCGGGGGGGGGTGGAGCTTTATCTCAGGGCTGTGCTTTTTGCCTCAAAGAAAAATCTACAGATTTTGTCAAAAGCTTAGAGCTTGACCCAAGAAGTTCACACTTGCTCAGTAAAAACTTCCTAGAGGTTACCAGTTAAAAATCTACAAATCCTATCTTCACTGAACACGCTCATGCTTCTCACTTCTAGTACTGGAGTGGAACAAGGGTTGTGCAGAAAAAAAATAGTGTGATATCTAAAATAATTAAAGACTGTTTTGTATGGCCTCCACCCAAGAATTTGAATCAAGTTTGTATAGGTAGCCTGAATTCTGGCATTGTCTTAAAACCGAGTGCTTGACTCTACAATAGTAATGCAGTACAGTGAAGGACAAAAGGCTAGACAATCTGCAAAATCATAAACAGCTGAGAACTGGATTATAAACCAGCACAGAGCACTACATTAAGCACTGTTTAAACTGAGTAATCATATCCCATTACTTGGATTAGCTTTTATAACCCATGAGTTAACACTCAAAGGGTTAACTCAGGGAAGGACAATTATTTCAGGCAGAGGGCCATTTATCCAGTTTTGGCATGACTGGGGCTACCCAATCTGGAGAGGGTACAGGAAGCAGGTGCTACTGGAATCCTCTTGGGACTGAGAGCCTTTGGTTGGCTGGGAAATGCTCCCTCTGTATCCTCCCATACCAGACTGAATCTGGTCTAGAAAGGCAGAAACTAGTGCTCCACTCCTCCTGGCAATCAGAAAGAGTTGAAGAGTA